AAAAAAAAAGATATTTAGAATAAAGAGGACCTGAAAACCACCTACACACAATATAATTGAGGAAACAAAATTATCCACAAAGATGAATTCACCATTAAGACAATTGTGCAATTATCCACTAACATTAACCAAAACACCAAATGATGAAAAGAGAGCATATACAAAATAATCAAAATAAGCATATAGTAAAGTAGTAACGAGTTAATTAGGAAAAGTTTCAGGATCGATGAAAGCACATATGTTGAATTAATCTTCTTCACTTTCAACCTTTACTCGAGAATTTTTAAATACAATAGCATAAAGTAAAATAGTAACTACTCTATCTGGAAATTTTGAAGATGATGAAAGTACGTTGAATTAATCTTCTTCTTTCCTTTTAACCTTCACTTGAGAATCAGTGGATGCGATCATGGAGGATGTGATGGGCTTCACATAGACCCCAATACTTCTAATCCGACAATCGGATTTGGTGCCGTGAAATCCACCAAAAGAACGATCATCTCCTATTTCAAACTTGAAATCTACGTAATTGGTGCCTGATGATGCGGTGTTCATGCCATATGGCCCATAGCTACCCTTGTTGGTGCCGAATGTTATTGACCTCGTATATGTTAACGAATAATTACGCGTCTCGATTTCATAAGAACCTCTTATACAAGTAAGAAATTCGGATGGATAATCCAACACAACCTTCATTAATCGAAATATGGACGCTGAAAATTTATTAGGGGTCCTATTTACAAATTGCATAAAAGTAATGAGAGGTAAATTGACTTAAATCGTAAATGCGTCTCTGATTTATAGCCTGTTTGGCCTAGCTGAAAAAATATTTTTTTCAAAAGTACTTTTGGTGAGAAGTAGTTTGTATTTGACTCATCAATTTGAAAAGCACTTTTGAGCAACAATTATTGTTTGACCAAACTTGTAGAAAGTACTTCTGCTTCTACTCAAAAGCATTATTTTTCCTTCTAAAAGCTTGGTCAAACACCTTAATTTTGACAAAAAAATACTTTTGACCACAAAAGAAGTTTGGCCAAATAGACTATTAGTTTCTTTGATTAATTGTATCATCTACCATGTTCTTCCATTTGAAGAAGGCGGATAAAAAAATCGCTTACCGTAGTGAAGTTTTTGTTGTGTTCAGCAACATGTATGTCAGACAAAACAAATTTGTCATTCTCAACGAACAGGAATTGAAGTGAACAAATTTGGCCTCCATAGGAAACAAAAATCTTGGCTATTTGGCCTTTTCCCTTTTCATCCCAAACAGTTCCCTTCTGTCCTCCCGCTGGCCCAACCTTGATCATATTCATATCTACACTCATTATATTAATTTCTTGGTTTATGAAACGCGCGCAATGTAAAGCCCATTTGGATTAGCTGATTGTAAATAGCTGATAAGCTTGTAGTGCTGAAAAGTTTTTTTAAATGCT